TAAGGTGAAGAGTGGAAGCTAATGTTCAGACTACTTGACAATGTGGAGACAGTTTGGTGAACAATACATAGTCCAAGTAATGACTAACAATGCCAAGATCTATGTCAACACAGAAAAGAGGTTGATGAAGAGGAGGCATTCAGTACAAAGTCTTTGTGCATAGACCTAATGCTCAAAGACATTGGGCAACTTGAGAAGGTAATTATCAACAGGAGTTTTAGACATGGGTGTGATCATATTGTCGTAGCATAGCTCCTTTAGTGCAATTTTGAAGACAGTGGATCTCCTAAGAAGTGTGCTATGGGTTTCTCATATGAAATGGCTGGTCATGTAAAGCAGGCCATCGAAGCCACATGTATATTACATCACAAAATATGCAAGAAAAAGAATGACCAATGGATAGTTTTTGCACCAACCAATGCAAGAAGCAAGTAAATGGTTTAACATTTAAAACATTTGATAGTCATAGCCGTTTGAATTCTAAAACTTGGATTGTAAATTTATCATTAATTATTGATGAGGGTTTATGTAAATAATCATGGGATCTTGTCTTAAGGATGTGTGATATCTAGGTTTCTTCTTCAGTCCAGCACATTTCTATACCCCAAGACAATCAATTCACCCTGATATCATGAAGGGAGTGAAATATTGGATTGAGAGATTTGAGCAAGATAGAGAAAAGCATATTGATGCTCAGAAGGAGATAAGAAAGACTTAGGAAGTTTCCTCAATTTAGGGCATTTACAAATTATGTAAGCCACATTTATAAACCAATAGACCCATTTTTTTCTTCATTTTTCTTTGTATATGGATGTGCAAGGGATGTTTGTGACAAACCGTGCAAAAAGACCTCACACTCTGCTAGATCCAAGTAGGGGAGTAAGAGTGCCAGGCCTAGGCCAACATGGACCCGGCCCTTTAAACCAACAGGTGTTAATGGCAGGCCCGGCCCATCTCAATGGGCCTTAATACAGGGCTCAGTCCCAGCCTGTCGAGCCAGCCCAGCCCATTTACACCATTTTGCACTAAAGAACTTTGTAAGATTAGGGCATGTCAAGCACGGCCTGTTAAGCTAACAAGCCTTAAATTACACCCTAGCCCGGACCTAGCCTACTATGACGGGCAGGGCCTTCAAGGCTTACCAGCCCAGCCCACCCCAGCCGAGCTCAGTTACACCCCCAAATCCAGGTCAATTTACAAGTTTCTATAAGTTGTAGGTTAGTTGTAAATTTCTTTTTCTTGGCATTTTACTCCGTCCTTATGAGCTCCTCGTTTTTCAACAACGCAGTGGGAACTACATGGCAATATAACTCCCAACCTTCAAAGAATGACAATGAAGGTGCTCAGCCAAACCTGTTCCACAATAAGGTGTGAGTGACACTGGTGCATTCTAGTGCATTCACGCAAAGGAGAAACAGGTTGGCCGCATCCAAGCTTCTCAAGCTAGTCTACATGCATTACAACATAAACCTTTGAAGCAACAAATCGAGGAAGGAAGCTGAGGACTATGACCTTATCAATTCGGATCACATCTTTGTAAAGGATCCAGCTTTGATTGGTGAAAGACGAGGAGCCAGTTCTCAATAAGAGGGTATGGAAGAAGAGTCAAGGCCCATTCAAGATGAAGGAAAGATGGGTGGGACTGAAGCAGCACAAGTTAAAGGAGGTGCAAAAGTTCAGGACCAAGGGAAGGATGGAGGAGGAGATGATGATGATGATGATGATGATGATGATGATGATGATGAGGCCATTGAACAACATGATGGTGATAGAAGAGCCCTGAGAATGAGTACGAGCAACACTGGGAATGAATACAAGGGTAACCTTGGGAACTTTTGGTTTAGAGTGTAACTTGGAGGCTGACATGCTTGCTTGTGATGGGGTTTCCAAAACTGAACTTAAAATCAATTTTGTAAATTCTTATGAAATATAGTGGGTTGAAGCATCGGGTCTAGAGTCCTATATAGAGTCTAATTCTACATAAACTCAGTTTTCTGTAAAGGGCATATACTATTTTTTGAAACAACACATACTTGTACATCATGTTGCTTGATGTATTGTAGTTACCAATCATAAAACAAAACAAAGTAATCTTTCGAAGATAGAGATGGAGCTTCACAACATCATCATCTCTATAAAGTTAGATTTTATGATTTGAATATAATTTCACCTAGTCCTTGCATGTTCGAAAAATAGCAACTTGTTGGATTTTTAATAGTTTATGGCAATATAGAAGTAGTCTACAGATACATTTTATTTTTTGATAATGCATTTCTAAGTAAATTCAGACAACAATGATGCCCGGTTCATCTAGGAAGAGAGAAACAATGAAACATGGAGCCTTATTTTCGATTATTTTGTTGTATGAAGGCATAAATTCCTTTGGTTGCACATGGTGATTGTTATGCCAACTTGAACATGCTCCAACCCAGGAAAGGAGCTTTTGACTCCTATACAATGTGATAGAAAGGCTATAATGCACATATTCTGTTTGTGTGTTTGTTAATAAGCAGTGGATTTATGACTATAAACATGAGACTGTAGGCTTCTGTGACAGTAACTGCAATACTTAAAAACGAATGAATCTAAAGACAGCAACTTCTCCGTCAGTCACAACAACTCCTCTGTGGCCGAAGCTCTGGCCCTTCTTGTGGGCCTTCGTAGATTTGATCCATCGTAGAGTAGCACTCTCATTGTAGAGGGTGACTCCAAAAACATCATAGCCTGGGCTACAAGATTGTCAGCTTACCCCTGGCGATTGGCTCGCATCTTTGACAAATCTTTCACATTTGTAGGGATATATCCGTGGTCTATCGGCATACCTGTAGGGAGGCCAACATAGTAGCCGACACCATCGCTAAAGAAGGAGCCTCACAGCAGATCTTCTCAGAGCCTTTGGAGCACCTTTTTGAGATCTAAACGTCTATTGTATTATATTTTTGTAACCTTAAAAGTATAGAATTTTTTGGACCCCATAGAGGTTTTTTGTATATATACACACCTGCCTTGAGGGTGTTCCATTTTTTGGACACCTTATACTCTCCAGCAGTACAACAGCGAACACTTTAAAAAAAAAAAATGAACCTAAAGACATCAATATTACATTAATGGCCTAACGATGAACCGATTTGAAGCTGCTCCAACCACAGAAATGAGCATTGACTCCGTATCATATAATAAAGACCATTATACATTTGTGTGCTGAGCAATGAATTAAAGTGAAACCAAGGTATTGTGATTTGGTCACAATGAGACAAAAGCATCAAATGCAACGATATTACAGTAATGATCTTATGACATGGCCATGACAGCAATAAATATAAAAATAAAAGTGCAACCAATCTCAGACAACCATTACCGGAACAGATAAACCATACTGAAAAGTTTCCATTAGCAGGAAATGGCAGAATTGACAGCAGTACAAGCCTTCATTTTGCTAACACGATCTAGAGGCAATGAATTAGGTATACAGCCGAGAGGGCCAGAAGAAATAACCAACCAGATAACATTGCCACGGCCAATTTGAGAACCAAATGCGAGCTCCAGCAATACTACTAGCAGTGATGCCTAAATATGGGTGCAGACAAGCTACAACATCACTATTAGTGCTTCACAAATGTTCCCAAAGCATCAACATGGATATGGCAGCCAATTTCACATAGCTGCTTGTAAAATCTCAAATGCAACCATTCGTGGCTTAGGAGCATTACCAGGCGTGATGTCAGACATCAAAAAGGAATATTTCAAGAAAAGTTTGAAGACACTGTCTTAGTGCAGGAGTGAGTTGACTCCAGACATAATCTACTTAACTCCAGACATAATCTACCTTAACAAGACACTAAATTTTATTTTTTTAAAAAAAATAATAATAATAATATAAAATAGGTATAAAAAAAGGAAACAAAAGAAAATGAAAAAGTCATTGAACCCAACAAAATGGTAAAAACACCTGATACCCGTAAAATAGGGAAAAGAGCTGCTAGAAACCAAAACAAACGCATAGCAGTTTCTAATAGATGGGAAATGAATAAATATTATAACACTTAGCAACTCGCAATGTCTCTAAAGATACCTCAGGTTCTTCATGAGACTTAGATTGTCATAGAGACCCATGAGTCTTTATGAGAATTGAGAGAATACTTGTACTGCCCAGCAGAATTCAGGGCAAAGCTAAGCCAAGTCAACTCAGGCAAGTCCTGGGTCCTTAGATGGAATGAAGTGACAACAATTGGCAATATGGAGTCAAAAAGAAAGTGACAGCTACCGACATAAACATTTCACTTGCCTGCTCACATATCAGAATACATCCAAATTCTTTGTCAGGTGTTGGTTGATGACATGCATTGATAACCATGCAGAGGATTTGGATTCAAGAAAGGAGCATGTTTCAAGAGTATATGGAAGCTGAGCAGAAGCACTTGAAGCAATTTTTTATCCATAATTTTTATGTGCACTCAAATTAAATTTGTTTTCCAACAAACGATTGAAAACAGTCAATTATAAGTCAAATATGAAATAGTAAGATTCATTGATTCCAAACATGATGAATCTTGAAAATATCTGTAGCGCCCGTGCAAAATAAAGATTTTAACATTTTCCCTGAACCAATGATAACATCCATCCATATCTAACATCAAATTTATAGCGTTATACTAGCAATCCAGAGCAGATCGATAAGTGATGGGGGGTGATATTTCTATTGCATCAGAAATAGCTGAACTATAAGAGAAAACATCTCAAGATAACATTCTTGACGACTATATACCCACCCCACTAACATCATTTGAAATCCAATGAAATAAGCCATACCTAATATTATTATAAAGTGAAAGATCAATTCACCATAATTGTTACCAACCCTAACCTATGCATTTCATTAAAAGATGTTGGTAAAGGATAGTTATAACTGAGCTACAAAGGTGTACTCTGGAAACAAGAGGAAATTAATTGGAACAGTTGAATAGGGCACGAAAAATTAGAAAAGCATTTGTAAAAAGTACCTGAACTCTTAATTGGAGAATCTCTTGGCTAAGGTTATCATTTGCCTTCTTTGGATCTTCTACAACAACTTTAGGGGATGCAAGCCCTACCACAGTTGGTGTAGGTGTTGTTGAACGTGGAGGACTGGGTCGTCTTGATATGGGAGATGTCGCTCTAGAAACGATTCTTGACCCAGGAACAGAGGCAGAGAAGAACTTTTTTGAGGAACCAAATACAGGATTTAAAGACCTTGAAAGGTTAAGACCGCTCCATTGGGAGCTTCCATTTGGAATAGGAGATACACGGCTGCTGTTAAATTCAAACTTCTTGTTTCGTTTGGAAGAAGATCTACCCTCGACATGCTTAAATGATTCCAATGAGGAGAGCCTTGAGAGTTGCCCCTGCAACTTAGGCTCCACCTTCTCTTCTTTCACAGTAGTGTCGCTGTAGTTATCACTGACAGCTCCTCTCCTGTTCATAGCAAGTTGAGAAGTTGGACCAGTATCCATAGCTTTCCTAAGTTTGCAAAAGCAATTATCACACACCCGATACGGTTTATGGGGATTTGGAGCCATAGATGCTCTCAAAGACTTTTTACTGCTGCATGAATTACAAAAAACAAGCCCACAATTATAGCAGTTATGGCGTTTTCTTTTAAAACCAAAAGGAAGGCGGCAGCCCGAGCACATTGATTGATCAACACCAGAGAGCCACTTGTGAAGGCAGATAGCTGCAGTAAAATTGGTGCCGCAAACAACACTCTTAACTTGCTTGTCTTTCAAAGCTTCAACCACTGTTGGGGTATTTCTATCGTCAATATCCCCATGGCCCAAGCGTCCATTTGCCCCCTTACCCCAAGTATAAACTTCAGTTCTGGAAGTTAATACTGCGACATGATAAGCACCACAAGAGATCTCCTCCACAAAACTCTTCTGAATCTTTCCTTCCACACGGGTGGGAAGCTTTCCATCAGCTTGGGGATTTCCCAGCTGGCCATAAACAGTACTACCCATAGTATAAACATGCCCAGAAGTTGTGAGAGCAACCGTAAGGCTATGCCCACAGGCTACCTTGCAAAAATTTGGCTCCACGAGAGCAGCCACACAAGTTGGAACAAGTCTCGGTTCCTTATCACCATGGCCAAGCCTGCCTTTATCACCATCTCCCCATGTAAACAGCTTTCCAGACGAACAATTACTCGAACTTGAAGTTCCAACCATGACTTCCACAACAGCTGCAGTGTGCCAAACACCACAAGCTGCTCGCACAGTACGCAGCCCCTTAAGGGACTCCACTTCTCTAGGTATATATGAGCTTTTACGATCACCATGACCTAGGACACCGAAAGTTCCATCACCAAAAGTAAACAACTGGCCAGAAGAAGTTACAACTGCTGTATGCCAAGGCCCACAGGAAATTGAAGAAACATGTATGCCCTCTAATGGGCCATTAACCTTTCTTGGAACCCAATGGCTCACTTCATTTCCATGCCCTAGAAGCCCAAAACTATGGGTACCATCACCCCAAGTGTACAGATCTCCAGACAGTGTCACAACACAAGTATGGTATTCACCACAAGCTACAAGTTCAATGTTCATATTGCTCAGAGCATCAATAAGCTTTGGTTGTGAAACATCAGCATCTACTCCATGCCCAAGCCTGCCTCCTGATTCCTCCCCCCATGAGAAGACCTCCCCTTGCTTAGTGACTAGTGCAGCATGTCTGCTACCGCAAGCTATATTTTGAACATCAAGCACCACTGCAGATTCCAAAGCCTTTGGAGAGAATGCGTCCATCTTGACACCAGAAGAGCTACCAACTTTATGTGAGCCACCACCCAAAATCCCATCACCTGTCCCCTCACCCCAGATGAATACATCTCCCAATGCCTCATCATCCTGACCAGAACCTTGGCTAGATGAGCTTATTGCACTAGACAAACTTACTCTAAAAGCATCCACAGTTGTGCTTTTCATGTGTCCATTTACACTATCAGATCCACCAGATGACAAAGAATGGACAGAACCACCAACAGAATCTGTCTGAAAGAAACCCTTGGGAGGTACCGCATACAAGATCATGTCAGATAATGTCTTATCCACACCATGCTTTGGAGGACTTTCATATGGACTATGGACTCGTAGAGTCTCTCCTCCATCCTACATACAAGAAGAATGTCACTCACACTTACCAACAATAAAAACCAAGAACACTTGCAAAAGGGAAAATATAATACAATCCAAGTTACTATACAGAGAGACGTAGCCTATTGAGGTCAAGACCTTCCAATGAAATGATGGAGGGTGATGGAACGGGGCCCACCTAATGAGATGAAACAATAGTGTGGCCGCTCTCTCTCCATTACTGCCCATTTGATTGCTTAGTGACAATCCTATGTAATATGGTTTTTTATAATCCACAGGAACATATACCCTGTAAAAACATAGCAGTATGCAATATTTTCAGAAATCATGGATCGAGAACTCACCTTATGCAAGCTCTCCCCACTGCCAAAGGGAGAACTCATAGGAGAACTCCGCCGAGTGTATGTCCTGGGACTATTTGTATCAGATGAAGCTCCATCACTCCTTGATTCTGTTCTCCATTTCCGATGGTGACCACGTGAAATTAATGCTTTGAGACCAATAAACCAAACTTCTGCTTCGTCTTTATCTTTACATATCTGACAATAGGAAAGTATTCATCTAAATCTATAGAAGCATTATGCTATATGCCATATCAAAGAATTATTTTTTCCTCCCATAACTACATCAGAGAATTCAAGTTTCTAAGGGAAGTTATGTGATCTATGGATACCTAGAGAGAAAAGAATTGTCCTAAAAAAGAAATAACACTGTACAATTTGGATGCACTTACCAGGTCCAGAGATCGATCATTGTATATGAGAGAAAAGGACTGGTATTCCTTCTCTGGCCGTGGATATCTCTGAAAGATTGGCTGAGAGAAAGAAATGGAGTAGAGATCAAGCTTAAATGTCAAACAATCGATAAAAATATGCATGTATTCAAAGACAAAGGTAAAAAAGAATCTATACGTTGAGATCACATGACCCTGTAAAGGTAAAAAAGAATCTCTAAGTTGAGATCCAATCACCCCGTAATCAATTTTAAGGGCTGCTCATGAAGATAGAAAATATTGATAATAGCATTTGGACATAAAACTTGGTTCAAAATGGGGTTAGCCTAAAAAGGCTAATGATTTGTAAAACAGATGGCATTAAGATCTCTACGATGTAGGCACTCATGACAAGTCTATGCGACTTAAAATGGTTGCTCAACAAAAACAGAACAGCATAATTATAAAAAACAAAAAGAAAAGAGCATATGTTGCGCATTGCCAGGGGGTAGAGATGCAGCGACAAAGCAGCTTAGCAGGGAAAACGAAAAGATATGCTGCAAGCATGATAGTAGAAACAGTAATCCATATGCTCTAAGTTAATATGACTTTTTCTGATTATTGATTTATTGGCAAGTTATTCTTGAGAAACGGACAGGTATGACTGCTCAATGTGGCTTGGATTACTTCATCATTAGCTATGTAGAGTTATTGATAACTTAATCCAAAGGAAAATGCCAATAAATCAAATTTTAACAATATAAGATAGGAAAACGCATTGAATAGGCCCTGGCATAGAAACACCATATTGTCCCCCCAAAATTCTTCTTATTTGATGGATTGAGGATCCAACGACCGTCCTAAACAGTTCCAAATACATATCTTCCCTGACAAAATAGATTTAGAGCTCCAATAATGGTGGAAATCTAATTAATATATGTCCAATTAAATAGCCAGTCCAGATTAGATGTTGAGATAGCAGTCAAGATGGAGCATTCATAGGGCTCCAAGTTCATTTTATTTTGAGGATCTTCATCTTGGTGGTCAAGAGGATGAATCTGCAGATTTCTTGGTCCCCAAACCATCAAAAAAATACACTTTGAGGGGGGGACTGTCCAATGTTTTGGTGAGACTGAGACCGTGGCCAAGGCAAAAACGAACCTTGTAACAGAGATATGTTGTCAATGATTCTAAATTGACATTTATATCATTCAAATGAAGCAAAAAAAATATGGCTATCACATTTGTAGACAGAAACCATTATTCCTCCGTGACATGCAACAGGAGTGGAAATTAACTTAAAACCAATTCAAGAGTCTCTCTGGACAGGATGCAGTGCCAACTGCCGATGCCATTTTAGTCAGGTGGGAGAATATAAATTGATTATTATATATCTTTAGGCCCAATGGCACAGGGATTCCCCCGGAAGAGCCCACTGAGTAATGGAGGGTAGTGTGGTCATGAAGAATGAAAGAAATTAAGGGGATATTGGATATTAGAATAGATATAGCATGATTTTCTAACATGGAAAGGGATTATTGTTCAAGACAATTCTATTTGCAGCAAACCTCAGTTTTGCTGTTGTAGTTTCAGGAAACTTCATAAATACGACATTTATGTTTGAATTTGCAAAAGTTCAAGTAGCATTTTGGTTAGCACATCCGACTCTTTTCCATTGTGGTGAGGGTTCCAATCTCCCCAACATGACCCCTTTGTAGACTTAGGTGGGGCTGATCATGTGCAGTGAGACCTAATACAGCACCACTTAGGAGGGGCAAATTGGTTCAAGTGGAAGGCTCTAAAAGGGCCAAGGGAAGGCCCAAAAGGATGTGGATGGAAGTCGTGAGAAGGGATATGGTCACTCATGGCCTGATTGAGGGTATGGCCCTCAATAGAGCATAATGGCGGACAAGATTTGTGTAGCAAACCCCAAATAGTTGGGATAAGGCTCGGATGTTGACGATGATGATTTTAGAATTCCCAAAATTACCACCTCAATTCTACAAATCTATCATGCCACTTTGCAATATTCTTACCCTTTACTCCTCAAGAACACCCCTCATTATTTTCTTAATTGCCAAATCACTAAGGAAATATCCCCTTTCACCGCCTTCTCTCTGTCTCACTCCACTTTCTCTTTATCTCTTCTCGTCATGCACCTGGAGCAATGCTCTCCACTATTCTAAATCTGGCGACCATGAGTTGTTAGACCAAGATTCCCTCCCTAAAATTCCATTGCTATCATCTCTCCTAACTCTAAACCCAACTCCCAAGGGTTTCTCTCTCTATCCAAACCTCCTCAGACCATAAGTTCTCTCAACTAATCCTGTATTCTCTCTAAAAGCTCAGGTTCCACAATCTCTTACACTACATAACCAGTTAAATTTTGGGGTTGCAGGCCGCTGGGGGGGAGAGAGAGAGAGACACCATATCACAATGACATCAATAGTAAACTCTCGTGGCCAGCTCAAAAACTTACAGAATTCCTTACGATATGCATTGCCACTTTCCTTTGTGTTAGGATCCCAACTAAGAGTACCACTCCTATTGGAATGACAAAAAGATAGTGTTGTAATGGGTTTGTTTGAATAGTTGTATCCGTGTTCCAAAACCCAAAAAATGAAAAAGGATTGAGAAGAACTACATAGAATTTTGGAATGCAAGGGAATGGGGCACTTATTGCAATAACGTTATAATTTGTTTTATTGGAGAAAGAAGTAATAATTGTTGTGGTCTTTTGGGTTCGCAGAGAGAGAGAGAGAGAGAGAGAGATGGAAGGAGGGAGAATATCATAATCAACCAGCAAGATAGCATAAGAAGCTGCTCAATACTAGTAGTAATGGGAAGAGGTGAGACCATGAAGTTGTGGTACAAGGAAAGAGAGCAGGGAGAGGGGGAGAAGAAGATCAACAAAGCAAAGGAAGCACATTCTATAGAACTTGCTTAAAACACCTAAAGGATATTTTAAGAAGAACTAGGTGGAAAAGTTAAAAGTCTGGCACTATTGAATTATTTGAAAAACCTGGGTGGCAATTTTGAGAAAGTAAAAATAAAGGTGGCATTTTAGAAGATCTTGGAAACTTAGGTGGCAAATGGTAAGGTTTTCCCTCTCATTAAAGGAATGCAGTAGATGTATGGAGCAAGATGGAAGTCTTGAATATTTGTCCATGCATTTGACCAGTCTAGCTTCAGTCCCTAAAGTGTTGGAGAGAAAGGAAAGGGTCTTGGTGCCTCTGGTTTATAAGGAAACTAAGGGACAAGAGACTTAAGGAACCTGACAAGTTAAATGGTTTGTGTTGGTTGTTGGGATGTACAGAAATGAATTCATTAATACCTAGAGGTGGAAATAAGAGATGGTGGAAATGTGACTCTGAGAATCATCTTATGGTAAGATCCTTGTTAAAAGCTTATTTGAGGTAGGGTGGGAAAATTCTCATAGAGGCTAGTTTGAGGATATCCAAGGCCTATCCTCTTCTTTGATTGATTTGTCACCCTAGTTAAGTCTCACCACATATCCTCTCCTAAAGATGTTGGTTGCAGACCCCAAATATTTGTTTCATGTTTCGAAGGGCAAATCAAACAGTTGACCTCCTTGGCATGAAAGAAATATTTGCATTATGCTCCTAAACTTGTTTCAAATGCATTCGGTGTCTATGTTATGCCTGAATTAGTGCAAGTCTAACATGAATCTCCAGTATTGGAGTTATACATGGGTTGACAAAGAAAGGACACTTTCTTTCAAAAATATGCCCTCTGAATGTATTTTGAGGCATCCATAAAGAAGAAATGAAAGGACTTGAGTGGCACTTATATTGGGTGCACTAGACTAAGGGAACAAATCAGGGGCCTTACTCTAAGGTCATGATTGATTTCGAATCTAACTACCTGATTGAAGAATTGAAGATGGTAAGCAAGCATTATCAACCTCACAAACAAACCTTGGGCCCTATAGGGCCCTACAGGGACCAAGTTACCAAACCAATGAGAAAGTTCAATTTCAACAGTAAGACCTAAGGAAAGCCGTGACTGTTCCGAGCTCATGGTTTAATCACCAATAAGTGTTTGTCACTCTTTAGCAAAAGGGCCCTCTCGATGGACCTTTGTTTTTTCTTCTTTTCCATTATATCAGGCCCTCAGTTGTATAATCCGCTTAAAGTCACTAGATGGCTCTACAAAGAGGTGGGCTATTATGGATATTCACTGATATAAAGGGGATATTTTGAAGCAAGCCACATTTTGTCTATCTCACTTCTTATGTGCTCCAAAAAGCCAACAGGATCTCTCCTCCAGGCTCCAGTAGGATAGCCAGGAGCTCTTCAGTCGTCATAATCTTTCTTCTTATATTTTTGTTTTTCTGTTTTTTCTGCTTTGTTTCTATATCCTGTTTCTTTTATCACATGTCATATTACTTTGGCTGTGTGATCAGCACAAATTCACTTATCTACAAAAATGGGAGCACAATGTAAACTGATAGGATTGAAAAAAAAAAAAACAATGAGCTGCATTATCAGAGTGTTGCACATAACCACCATCCACTAGAAAATTGTAGTTCTCCAACAGTCGAGCACATTCTCTTAGAAGAAGAAAAGCCACTCAACAACGAAGAGTGCTAACTTGATCAACTACTGCAGTGTAAGATTCCAGAAATTCACAACATGGAGACAGACCATCAAGGCTCAGAAGTACTGTAGGTTCTATAACTGATCATAAATCTAAACTACATTCAATATTTCTTATAGGAATGTGGCTTCGGATTTCTGCTTAGAACAAGTAGAATCTGAATAACAAACTTCACGATGATCTACCCATATTCGCCAAACCTAAACCCAGTTGAACTGATAGAAACACTTGACATAAGTAATAAGGAACGAATTCAACAAAAAAGGTACAACAGGTAGTCATTTATGACAGAATATATAATAGAACCATCACAATAAGTAATCTATACAAATTTGTCACAGAGATTAGTTAAGTATCAGCAGTTATAGCAGGTAGATACACACTGAATGCCACAAGAAAAGTGTCCAAAAAGAAGACATTCCAGTAATCTGCAAACTCACAGTACGTTGGCCAGGTATAATTTTTGATACATGGCTTAGTTTGAGGCTTTTCTCCTCTTTGCCAGAGTACCATATTAGAACAGATTCATCCTGCAAAAATGTGTTCATGTCAACTACTAATAGAAAACATGTCACATAGAGACCTGAGTGCAATGTATGCTTCTAAGCAAGTAACGACAAGTTTACAAGGTAGTCTTTAATTGGAACTAAAGGAATACAGTTCCATAATATATTACCGCAAGAAAAAGATTTACAAAGGCAAGAAGGTTAAACAAGGTGAAACACACCAAACAAGAAAAATTCACAGAATCCACATGTATGTCAAACTTCTGTTCCAAACAATGAAATAACTCTTAGTTAAAGTATGGGTTTTCTAATTGCCATATTGAGATGTAAACCATACTGAACGAGTTCCACAATAACAAAAATTATGAAAGCCAGGGAATTTGTAATTCCATAAATACATGAAGTGGCCGATATATGCAAGCGTGAACCATAATGTTGTCAATTCTGACTCATTCTAGTTGACATGCCCATCCTGAAAGAGCATGCAGTAGTTTTGACATTTGTGGACATTGATTATGCATATCCTTCAGAGTTTAAACCTAAGACTTCTCAAGTTTGTGCATTATCCATTCTACCAATACCCCATAGTGATCATACACTCTTTAGGAAAATATAATATAATCATTCTCATTCCAAATAAGGAGCAGCGGCAGCTGCTGCTGCCTGGGATCCAACACAAACAGATCAGATACCTCAGGCCTAATACTTTCATAAACTATGGCAGGAAATGAAGCTAGAAATCTACACAATCAGGCTATCATAAGTGTTGCTGTATCTATATCTAATAACCAGTGACAATGATCGGCTTAATGCGTATGAATACATGGAAATAAATTTGTGTGGATTGTAACAAGTGCATTCATTGAAACGAACATACATTGGCTAGCCTGAAAGGGCAAAATTTGGGTTTCCCTCTGCGGCCATATTTAAGTAAATGTGCTCCCTTCTTAAGTGCGGTGATGGCCTGCATAAATTAAAAAATTAGGCATCAATTGAACACCAGGAAAATTAGCAATAGAATATTACAAAAAAAAAAATTGGCAAAAGAATGATGACTTGCAAGCAGCAGTGATATTACAAAATATAATCAACAGAGGAACAACATGAACTTGAGCAGGAAATCAATTGAAACTGTAAAGTGATATGAATAACCAAATAGGATACAGAGGGACAGAAAAGCAGAACTAAAAAGAAGCAGAACAAATGAGAATAAGAAAAAAAAGAAAAAAATGTATGTACACAAGACATTCCTAGACCAAAACCATTTGAACAATTTATGTTAAGTTCTGAAGTGCAAAAGAAAAAGAGACAAAAAAAGAAAAAAATTTCATCAAAACACAGCATGAGAACAACCTCAGGACAGAATTAAGGAGGACATGAAGAACAAACATAAAAAAGAATCATAACAAATAGGCCTGTAATTGGGTAATTCATCACACGTAAAATGTCCACATCATAACTCAGAAACTGACCTTTTCCATATAAATGAATAGTATTCAATAGGAAGAGGTTTGTCAGCCAAAGACTTTAGTGGCTTCGAGTTACAGTGCCTGAGGTTGATGGACTAGCGCCTTTATGGCAAGTGGCTACCATGATATGGATAAGATCACAGAACCCTATCGCCTAGAATAACAGAAGGTATGTACTGTATTGGAAAGATAGACTCAGAGAATTCAAATTGTTTTCAAGTGTGAAATTTTCATCATTGAGCAGCAGACAAGAGTTGAATGTAAACACACTAGCTTAATTACAGGGCCCTCCCACTATCTTTAGAATCAACATAATCTCGAATACTAGAACCAGAGAAGGGAATTTACATAATGAAAATAAGTTCTCGCCGATATTATTAACGCAAAACTCTTTCTGAGATATCACTACAAGTAATTGAATTTTACAACATAAGCAAAGAAGCCAGATTATATGGAACCAATTTTACCTGCTCAATATCCCTTTCAACGGGGCCACTCCGAGTAGCATCCGCCATCTGCTTCATGGCACCACCCCAACAAATTCTCTCAAATTCATCATCACCCACTTAGTGTGCACACCAAATAAAGCCTAATTTGTCATCCATTAATTACCTCAAATTAACTGGATTTGCGCAGTTGTTCTAAAGAAAACCACAAGTGACTAATCAAAAGAATAATCCATCAAATTCGCCCTAGAATTTCAGACCCTCTCTCATCAATCACCATATAAGTGACACTGAAACATCCTCATATTCTGAAGTTGAAGTCACTTAAATAAGCCTTCCAGACAAAATGAACACTGTGCCCTGGTAAAAATCAAGCAATAAACACATAATTACACAAACAAACACAAAATTCCCTAAAAATCTGCAAAAAAGGAAAGCCATGAAAAAAAAACAAACAAACCACTAATCTGAAAAGGCATGAAGTTTAAGAGCTATATGCGTATCTGCTCCTACTGCCCCAATACTGGGAGAAAAAGGCCTGAATTATCACCAAAAGTCCCAAAAAATCCCAAAAATCATAATTGCAGAAAAGCAAAAGTCTATGCAACAATGGACTGTATATCCAGTTTCCTGAGCTTTTTCTACTTCACTTATCCATCACTAAATGAAGAATTCCAAGACTCTTTCTCGACAAAACAGCTGCAAAAAAAAGGCTGCTAAAACTACAGGAGGAAGAGAAGAAGAAAAGCTCCCAAGTTTTTAGGCTTGGAACCAAGGTTACTATAGAAGAAACCCTGAATATCAAGAGGAAAGAGAATGAGAGATAGTACCTGGATTTGAGAAGTGCCGGAATTCCCACATTCCGGCGAAACAGGGATCGCAGTCACCGGAATATTATCCTGTCACAGCCGGAATGTTATGGCCATTGAGAGAGTAAAGAGTAGAGAGAAGAGCAGTCTCCAAGAGAGAGAAAGAGTAGAGAGAGAAAGGAGTGCGCGTGTTTGGACTTTGGACTGACCGATCCAACACATGGCCAAAATAAAAACCCAAGGCCTAGAAAAATATAATAAAATTTGGAATTTTAGAGGAAATGCCCCTTGGATTCTACAAAATTACGCTAGTAGTCCTCGCATTCATATTTTTGCGCTATCGCTCCATTTGACTAAAGGTTGAAGTTCCTAAATAGCCTAAGCTTTATGGTAACAAAATATAGCTTCACCACATGGTTCTAAAATTAATTTCCAACATAGGTAATAGAATTTGAAACTCAAAAACACTTATTTTTAAGGCGAAATGAATAGTTTGGATGATTTGTTGCAATATACGCTACTTTTAAAATTTGATATTCTAATTTTTTTCACAATCAAGCTGAGCTGAATGGCCCTCCTTTGAACGTGTGCGAAGCCTCAATCGCCATGTGTGGAAGTAAGCGATACACCGGTGATGTATGGTAACATCAGATGCTCAATAAGGAGCAAAAGTAAGAAAGAAAATGTCATGGCAACATCCATCTCCAGCAAAGGAATATCCTGTGTTGTACCATACACCAATGGTGTATCGAAGTTCTTGGGTCCATTCATCATCAGGAAAGGACGATAGATATTATGTATTTTGCTATATCACTCCATTTTTTTGGGCTTACTTAGATTTGCTCATTACGACTTCGGATTCAATATTTCGATGAAATTAATCTTGACAAAGTTAGAGGAAGTTGTACATATGGATGGGGTTTCTATGAATCGGCTGTCTAATATGTGCATATGCAGCCCCCTTTAAATCCATTTTAGAAATGGATTTTTATCTAGTTTTTATTTATAGATACATCATTTAGGCTAAGATGATCATGAATCATCATCATCATAGCATTTTTTCAATGAATTGGGGTCGACTACATGAATCCTGGTCCATCATTCTGCTCTATTAAATATCATACCCTCAGTGAGGTCATAAGTCCCCATATCTTTTCACTACTTTTCGTTTCTTTTGGGAAAGATCACTTACAAGTAGTCTTATTACAATAATTCTTGCTTCAAAGAAAAAAACTAACAAATTCATGATTTTAAAAACCTTGATGTCATTAAACCAATTTTCTTTGAAAAAGAAAATATCCACAATTCTTATGCTTGAGAATATAAAGACAATATAATTAAATATGACAAGAAACTAAAAGAGAGTGCCGGATATTACCTCAACCGAGTTTATTACACCCCACATCGAGTCACCACCATCTGATGGCATGTAATTAACGATCAACCTTCAATCTTAATCAGGAAAGCAAGTTTAGGCCAAACCATACTAATAAAACATGAACCCCTTTGATCAGAAACTCAAACCCTATGTGAATTCCCTCAGCAACCTAGTTAGAGATAGATGAATTCTCTTTTTGCTAAACCCTAAAACCATTAGCCAGAAATTCATAGTTGAGAGATAAGAGAGAGAAGAACTCCATAACCTAAACCTTTAGGTTTTTTCACAATATGAGAAAGAGAGAGATCAAAGATGAGAGAGTAGGACGTGTCCCTTTTTTTGTTTTCATGAGAGAGAGAAAAACTTTTCTCAAGAGAGAGAGAAAAAAATTCTAAGTGGGATATGAGAGAGAAATATGGAATTGGGTACAAGAGATAAGGTATAGAGATTTTTCGTGTAGAGACAATCCATTTCTATATGCTTTGAACAAAATTAAGGTTTCTTAGGGTTTTTCTTGACTTATGTGAGATTGAATGTGAACCATTGATCTTGGATGACTTGTGGGGTGAGAGATTTGAGTCGTCCATTCTATAGATGGATCATCAACATTATAGAATGTGTATGAATCATTATCCCTTTTTCCTAAACTATTTTTCCATCAATAGAAATTAAATAAATTAAATCTAATCAAAATATTGTACATACCATAAAATAACACAAGTCTACTCAATCTTTCCACAAAATATTTCAAAGATATATCAAGTCAATATTTAGTCCATATTTTCCAATCATATGGCCATATGCCATATCACCACAAAAATAGGAAAGGAGAATAAGGATGGGGCGTGCCACCCAATAGAAGCACTCATGGGCCCCACCTTCTAGAAATATGGTGGGTCCAATACACAATGGGCCTTCATGATATTTTATATTTTTAAAATTAATAAAGAGATTTTAGAATATTATTTGAATATTTAAATCATTGTAAAATCAATATCTTTAATTTTATAAATCCAAAAATTATAAATAAAATATTCAAGGGTTCATAAAAATTCAAATAATAATTTCAAAATAACTCTCATCATAATACAATTAAAATTAATTTGATGGGAAATGATTCATATGGTTTAGGAATTAAATCAACAATCAATGGCACTCCACCTTCAATTGTGGACAACAGACCACACTTGCTTGCTTTATCAGACCGACCTAGTATTTCCCATGACCCACAGTCCAAGCAGGGACTCATTAGCGGATCACCAAAATCTGGTCGATGAGCCAAGGGGTGGCAATCTCAGTCTGTGGCTTTCAGGTCCTCCCCTAGATACGAGTCAATGTCATTTAGACCTGATACGACCACAGCTCCTATGGTGCATAGGGGTACCTCTCGCACATGTATACACTTTACGCTGAAAGGTGGCTTACTTCCTTTCCCGAACGATCTATCTATATGCATGTTGTGTGATGGCACATGGATGAGGCTTTGGCTCCCATCTCTGTAGGCCACCATCACACGCAAAAGTCACAATTCCTCAGTTCACTCATCTGGGCATATGCTCCGACCTCATCAACAGATAACCCATTAAAACTGTTCTCGGTTTGTCCTCTATGCCCATGTAACATGGGCTTTTTCTAACCAATTGGCCTAGATCGTCAAGCATAGTTCGGTATTAGCAAACATCATTTGCTTAGTATGGTTCACGAGGGACTACACTTCCACTGAGTTCATGTTCCACTATATTATTTCATTTTACAAGCACCCATAAGGTCTTTAAAGGCTACATAAACCCAACATCTCCCACTTGGCCTTTGAAGACCTTATATTCTCTCTTACCCACTTTCTCGCATCCACATATCTCTCTCTCTCAATTATAATCTTTCTCTCAAGCATTTTTCACTTATTATCTCTCAATACATTAATCATGATTTTCTTCATCAATCCTTTCATAAAAGGATTTATAGAGGCAATGCCTTTTTCTCTTTGTTGCTCGGATCATATCCCAAAAATGGTCGTAGCCCATCTTTCATATCGCATTGCGAATTATGGACATGTTGTTGCAGAAGACCATCACGTACCCTCATCGCATGGGGTCGTATGTTCATGGGTTCAAAAGAGTTTTTCAAATAAGATGCTCCTTTTGTAGTCATACAACCAGCACCACACATCTGGGTTCCATAGGCGAACAACATTATAGTATGTTGTTCCATCTGACCTGTCAAATACTAGCAGGTGCTCCCACTAAAATATTTAGCTTATCTAGATCTCGATCTTTCTGAATCTCACCTCATTCCTTAGGTGATAGAAATATGTTTTCATATGCTTGGAGTTCTTATGAAATCATGACTCCTTTGACATGCATATCGTCGTCGTGTTGTCACATAAAATACTTTACTACCTTACAATGCAAGCGGTTAAAGTCAGGTCGATTAAGAAATTTCTTATTCCATACAGCCTTTTTGACCGCTAAACAACACGTCACATACTTTGTCTCTATAGTAGATAATTCTACCGCATCTTGTTTCTTTGATTTCCAAGAATTTGTACCCTTTCCAAGCATGAACACATATCCAGATGCAGACTTTACATCATCTGGGTCCGTGAGATAGCTTGTACCTGTATATCTGAATACCTAAGTAGCTAAATGAAACATGGGAATATAGCAGCTCCCACTCAATTATTGTACATACAACATATACATTCTCAACATTCTTATGCATGTAACATAAGGTAGCATAACAAGTCTTATGCAATATGTAATTCAATCTCGTTGGTTTCACAATATGTAAAACCTTCATGAACCATAAAGATTCAACCACATTAGTCATCTTGGTAGTAAATCCATACAAACTAAGTTATCAACACAATATATGTCAAGGAAGCCTAGCATGATGGCCTTCCTTCAACATTTCATATGGTTCCAAGTCTTAAGTAACCAACGATTTTATATAATTAAAAACATGGGTCAATGCAAATGGGCATTTAAAAGCTAGTGCCTGACAGTTTTTTTCCAATTTTTATAAATATCATCAAGACACAATGTTTTTCTCTATAATAAAATATATTAACTTAGTGTATATATATATATATATTCACAAGCAATAGTTATATAATAGTATAACAGTTTAAAATGATTTTCATAAAGACTTAATGGACCTTGCAAAACTATGTGATTTTCTCAAAACCATATTCATAGACTTAGGTTTTTCTCAAATCATCCAATTTTAATTTCAAAATATATGCTTAGCCTTAATAAATCATTTTACCGTATTCACTTTTAATTTCCTACCAAGTCAAGTTCATGGCCACTAAAACAAATCATAAATGCAATCTTATAATAATAAAGCATGATTAAAGAATGTATATTAAAGGCTTGACAAAATATTTCTTTTTTGGCAATCAAGAGATCATTATCACATACAACACATCATATTATATACAGTAATGAGAGGATGGTCACTAAAACTGAGTTCCATCGGAACACTCCCTTCATGCTTACATTTTTTAATGAGCCACACACATCTTTCGTGTTTCATCCTTAGGGCTCAAGCCCTTGATTAAATCGCATCTCTATGTGTATTACTACCTTAAGTAGTTCATACTCTAACACAATGAGGCACTAAAACACAGCGTATTAAAAAATTGGCTTTTCTTATTTGTTAGCACCTATTACTTAATGTTCATACACGCCATACATATTCATAAAACAATTAGCCAAAATATAACCAAAGCATATAAAATAAAAAGTTAATGAATCATCTTTCTCTATATGACTTTACAATATAATGTGGGATAAATTTCATACCTCAAAATCGTGTAGTGTGGTACCTGGGC